CCGTAACTTGCCATTTTCCTTCAGAATTGATGTGTCGCTTGCCAAAATTTTTGAATTTTGGGTTTAGGCCCTTTAGGCCCTTTGAGGCACGGGTTAAAATTTTTTTAAAATTTTTTCCTTTTAGGGGGTTCATTTAGAGACTACATAGAAACTTTTTAGGGGTTGACCAACTTGATTTTCGCAAAACTCAAAAATAAGACACACCCTACTACACTTGCGTTGGGAACACCAGACCTAAACACTGATGTCAGTGCTGCCGGGCGCTGATCTGCTACGTCAGTGTTAGGTCTGTTCCAAAGGCAAGTGCCTCTGATGTAAGTGGCACTGACTTAAGTGTCTCCGACGTAAGCGGAGTGGAAACTCCCAGAAATACTGCAGGGTCAAAAATTTACTTAATTATCGATCCGCCAGGTACGTTAATTCACTATTTGACGACCAGGGAGGGCTGCTGTGAGTTTTCAATCACAAGTAATTATCACAATCTTCAGTGGACAACCCTCGTTCTCATGCGGTCTCCAATCTATAAGTACTAACTACGCTCGAAGTAGCCTCGGTGATCGACTGAGCGACCGTACCACTACACTACCTGCGCGTGTAAGTCTTTAAGGCGTAATAATGCCATTTCAGGGCCCCCATTGGAGTAATTTTGCCAGCAAATGATGATTTTGTCCTTGAATTTGAACCCGATACTTAATTTTTTTATTGTTCTTTTTTAATCAATCAACATGTAAATGAAGTTTTATAAGTTATGTTTCTTTGAAAAAAAATGAAACGCATTAAAATTCAAAATTATAGCTAAGGATGTAAAAAAAAAAAAAAAATAATTAAAGTTGAAATGTTACAAAAAATATAAATTAGCAGATACAAAAATTGAAAGTAAAAGAGTGAAAAAAGTTGGAAAAGAATTAAAAATAAATTGGGAAAATTTGGGGGGAAAATTAAGACTGAAACATTTTAAACAGAATAAATAATAATAAGAAGAATGAATAGCCTTGATACCTTGTTACACATTTATTTCATGGTGCGAGGACCTTTCGAATACAAAGACATATTCAGGCACATAAGTCACATCATAAAATTGAACAGTTTTAACACATTTTAGAATAGGTACTTAACGAAATATAAAATTTTGGAAACATTCGACATTTTTAACCATATTTAACAGCAATGAGTTTACATAATGAGAGCACTGTGATCGAAGTAGCCGGTTTACAGTCTCTAGAGCCTACTCTACTGCCTAAGAGCTTTCATTTAAAACAAATCCGAGGAAAATCGGTCCAGTAGTTTCCGAGATCGAATTAGCAATAACTGTCCAGCGGGAAAAACGCAAATATTTCGTTATCAAATTGAGGTAAATTTTGCAACATCGGTCGCGCAAATCGAAAAACCAAGGGATGCTGGCACATCTAGAGCCTAAGAGCTTTCATTTAAAACAAATCCTAGGAAAATCGGTCCCGTAGTTTCCGAGATCGAATTAGCACAAACTGTCCTAACTGAAGGAGGACAAAAAAAGCCTTATGATATTAAATATACATATATAGATAGAAGATGAGTTAAGGCGAAAGAAAAGTTCAATATTTACTGATTGGAGAAATCTGAGAAGAGTAGGTAA